AAGTAGCTGGGACTACAGGCGCCTGCCACAACTCCTGGCTATTTTTTGGTTGCAGCCATCATTGTTGTTTGGTGGGCCCAGGCTGGATTTGAACCCACCAGCTCAGGTGTATGTGGCTGACGCCTTAGCCGCTTGAGCCACAGGTGCCAAGCCTGAGAAAACATTTTTAAGAAATGACAACAATAGAAAAATTTGGACAGAGTTTTTATAACCATATTATTTTTCAAGTTTTGTACTTTTATTTCCATACACACTTTATATACATCAAAAATTAATGAACTTTAATATTTACACACACAAACATAAAATTTTAAATTAGCTTCACTTAATTATAAAACTTTTGATACTTTTCTCTCATGTTCAGATGATCTGTAGGCCACAGATGTTAATACAAGCCACACAATCAAAATCAGTTTAGGTGTGGATTCAAAAGACTATGAATTTTTGATGATTTATTATATAATTAACTATACTCCATGCCTGTGAAAGGTTATACCTACAAACTGACAGTCTGACAAGGGCATGACTGTTCATTCTTATGAAACTTGACTGAGAAGGATACGGGGCACTGCAAAGGGCTGAGCAAAAGCGTGGAAAGCAGAACCCCATGTGATCTGCCATGGGGCGATGTAAGTATACACAAACTGCAGTTTATAAAGGAGTTCCCAAAGCTGTAGGAGGAAAAAAGAAATCTGTAAAAAACTTACCATCACATACTTGAATCTGAAATGGAAAACCTGTAAAATGTATTTTCTTCCTAGAGGGGAATGGCATTGAAATTATTTGCCATTTGCGTAATAGGAAAAGATACATCAACTGCCAAAACACTAAATTTATTTCTCAGTAAAGATATTATTTTTAAGTAAAGACAGCTGACGTAGGGATTTGCATTTCTTCTGTTTAAACATGTTATGTGCTCTACTAGCCACGTATTACCAGTACCACAAGCAAAACAAAGGTAGGAAGCAGCAAAATAACAGTTCTTGAAAAAAAAATCTACATGTCCATGAAGCTTTAATAACACATATATTTATTTATTCTAACATAACTTTCCCCAAGTTTTTGTGCTTTGGAGATTGAGTGTGTTTTAAATGCAATGTCAAAAAGGAATGTGAAAACAGCAATGGTAATATAATTGTCACTGTTTTGTTTGCACAGAAATGTAGTTGTATGTTCTAGGCATCTGTCCACAACCTCCATTATTATCAATAAAAACACAGTCCACATTTTAACCTTAAAAACTTAAGTTTAGATCTGTTATTGTTGCTGAACATGTCTTCAGTGTAGAAACGGAGTTGCTGTGTTTGTCCAAGATTGCCTCTGCATGTTAGATAAGGCAAAGTCAGACACTTAAACCAGATTAGACTCTTAAAAGCAGAAACTTATGAATAATTTGGTGCCACGATTAGACAACAAATACCTCATCTCTTAAAATACTCTGGCTGATTAACAAATGAATTTGTTTAATTTCCAATTTAATAAAGAAATCAAACTTCATCTAATCAGAAAATGCAGATGAACCTCAGTATTCTTTGTCATGACTTGAAATCATGCTGGCAATCCTTGCTACTAAAGTAATCAAGGTCACAGTGAGTAAAAGCAGCATTTGTATCACCACAATGTCATATCACTTAGAAGCAGTGACTCAGAAAACCCTTCAGATTCTAAACATGAAACATTTAATTTTTTCTTGAAAGGCAGTTAAATCAATGGTTTACCTTACAACAGTATCTTAGAATAAAAAATATATCTGAAGAGATCACTTGAATATTACTTGCTTATAATCACCGTTAAATTCTATCTGCCAATCATGTAAAATGCAAACTCCTTAGGTAGAGAGCTTTGATTTGTTCACTGATGTAGTAAAACTTTCTAGAACAGTTCTGGAAAATGGTATGCTCTCGAAAAATATTTAATGAATGAAAATATTAAGAAAACCCAAACTAATGCAGAGTTAAGTGTAGCAACTATATTTCAAAGATTTAGTTTATATTTTACTATAACTTTCACTTTTTTCCAATAGTAAAATAAGATGAAATATAATTTTCATTTTAAATATTTAAACATGTGAGAAACTACATGCTTTTTAATACAAATCATTTCTCTGATTAACTTTCAGCCTTCCTCTTTGGTTAATAACCATACTCACCAGAAGAATAAATAAATGATAAAAACGCACACAAACTAGTGGTTGAACAAGTAAGTATTATATTGAAACATTTCAGAAGCTATGGACCACAATACTGACAATGACTATCAATAAAACCTTGTTCAGGTTAATGGTTTTCCATTTTTACTGTTTCCATCCTAGAGTTGGAGCTCTATCAAATCTGAATTATTGTCAAAAATCTCTTAAGCTGTTCTCCATACCTTTATGATTTCTCTTCCCCAATTCATCCCAAATGTGGCTGACCAGGCTAACTTTCCTAAAATTGAACTTTCACTGTGTTTTGTAGCTGTTCATTTGCTTCAGCTCTGAGTTCCCTATCAAATGGGATAATATATGTCAAAGTCCTTTGCCTGTGGTCAGTGTTAACAAGAAATCTAATTGCTATTTAATTTACAAATCATCTGACTATACAAACTATTTCACTTAGAAAGGCAGTGTTTCACATCTCTTTTTTTTTTTTTGCAGTTTTTGGCCGGCGCTGGGTTTGAATCCGCCACCTCTGACATATGGGGCCGGCGCCCTACTCCTTTGAGCCACAGGCGCCACCCATACGATCTAATTTTTAAAAGGCCTAAGAACCTCTATTTTGGGGGTGGGTCACACAGTTTTGAAGCATTCTCTAAACTTCAGCGTATTCTTCAAATGTTACATCAAGCAATTTCTGATTGCTGCCAACTGGCCAAAATGTCCTCAGCATCTACTGTCTTTATTCAGCTATCAGATTATCATCCTCAGCTATAATTTGCTCCCTCCATCTATCCAGTAGCCTGTAGCCCAATTCAATTATTACCTATTCTGTTTCTAGTATTATTCAAAACTATACCCCATTTGGAAGATACACTTATTAATGTTTTCTAATTTTTCTATGGAACTTAACTTCATCTTCCTAGCTCTAGCAAGAAATCTATCTTTCACATATCACAGTGACTAGCATTATTTAGGGATTCTAACATGCTCCTGGTTGAAGAGAGATATAATTTCCTTAGATGATAATACATCATATGAAATGTAAGCATAATCCTCATTAAAAAGCATATTAAGTAGGGAGACCGTTTTTCTAGGTAAGGATGTTCCTTTCAATGACAAGTTACCTTGTGGAAGAGTATAGACATGAAGAAGAGATCCAACAGCATGGTTTCTGAAAAAGCTTCATAGTCAAATTTGAAAAAGAGCACAGTAAAGATGACTGTGACATACTGATATGTGGGGCTGCTGAACGAGGATCGCAGCAACTTCAAGCCGGCAATGGTGATCATTAAAGCACCTAATCTGTGACAGAAAGAAGGCACAAGTCATCTACTCATGACTGGAAACAGTAGCAAATTCACTAACTTCAAGAACTAACTTTACAAATATAAAGATCAAATTTAAGCTCCTAAAAATGATGTGTATAGGTAAGCAAATCAGATCCTGAAGGAATCTGTGTAGTGTAATATTCCCTTTTATTGTATGAGGATGATTATCACTAATACGAATAAACAAGTTTTAAAACAAACAGTATTGTAATTCTGACATCTGCTTCTCTAATTTCTCAATATTTTTATTGCCTTAACATTAATTGCATTTAGAGTAAGAAAAACATATGTTAACACTCTGTCAACAACATGCACATACTCTAGTGGGCAGTCCTACAGAACGACCACGGAGGCAAGTCATCACCTGCATGCTATAAGATATAGCCATCTCTCAAAGTTGCCATATCATATTAAAAATTAACCTTACTAAATAAATATTCTCTCATAAAATATCAGTTAGCAATGTCTACAGTAGTGAACATGCCCATGGCAGAAACAGGAGTTTAACAAAGGCAAGACAAAGACAAAAAAACTCATCTATATTTTTAATCTCACAGTGGCCTTGTCAAAGTGAGACTCAATAATTACTTGATACTTGACCAATAACTTAAAACACTGTTTTTGACAGCTCCTAATAGTCAAGCTTAGGTTACAGAATTATTGGACTTACTCTGTATCCAACTTCTTTGGACTTGCAATTTTCTCTGCACTGCTACTAAGTTCATTGAGAACAATCAATGGGTAGATGATATTCTTCTCCACAAAAAGAAGCCACACATGAAGCTTCTCAAACCACATCATAGTGGCTGCATCTAAAAGGGAAATACAAGTTACCGCATGTCATTGAACATATAAAGTAGTTTAGGAAATGTGGTAAGAAAGGAAAATCTTACAACTTAAACTTAGTTCTATATCACAAATACAAATGTAAAAAACTCTAGTACTTAGTCAACTTCCATGAGCTCTGCAACACTTAAAAATTTGCAACTTAGACATGACTTATATTTAGATGAGTTTCATTTTAAACTTTAATTCTTGAAAGCTCAATTCTTAACTACAACTTTTATTCACTTATGCTTATAAGCTTATGGAAAAAAGGATATGGATTATTAGATGGCTTCCTTCCCCCCAAATAAATGATCTACTAAATACTTTGTTTTAAAAATGCTATGACATATGTACATAGATGCATATACATATATATGATATATATGATATACTATCTCAGAACCAATATAAAAATATGCTATTGACTGGGCATGGTGGCTCACATCTGTAATTCTAGCACTCTGGGAGGTTTAGACAGGTGGATTGCTGAGCTTGTGGATTGGAGACCAGCCCGAGTAAGAGCAAGACCCCATCTCTAAAAAAAGCCAGGCATTGTGGTGGGCGCCTGTAATCCCAGCTACTTGGGAGGCTGAGACAAGAGCATCACTTGAGCCCAGGAGTTTGAGATTGTTGTGAGCTATGATGCTACGGCATTCTACTGAGGGCAAAAAAGTGAGATTCTGTCTCAAAAAAAAAAAATGCTATTACTTGAATTCACAGACTTAATAAAAGTCATTTTCATTGCCAATAAATTTTTTTCAAATATTTCAGTATTATTTCATTGGGGAAAGTGCCATAAAATAAAACAGTTAAAACATGTTTTTTTTTTTTTTTCATTCTGGATATACATTTTATTTTTATTTATTTATTAAATGATAACTATGTACATTAATGCAATTCTGGGGTACAGTGTGGTGTTTTCATATATAATTTGAAATATTTTCATCAAACTGGTTAACATAGCCTTCATGTCATTTTCTTAGTTATTAAAACATGGTTTTAATGGCCATTTGAAAACAATTGTCTATCTAGAAGTTCTTTTGGAAGTTCTGTAATGAAAATCAGTACCATGAAAGAAAATCAACTTTGTTATGACCTAGTACTATTAACAAGTCCAAAAAGTTATGGTGATTCAAAATTTGATTTTAGATTACATGTTGTTAAAATCAAAAATAAAGAAAAAATACAATCAATAATTTAATGAAAATTTCTGTTCTTTAAAAAAAAAAACTAGATATACTTACTATTACTTATACTTATTATTTTACTTATACTTATTACTTTAAATTGCACATTAACTTTATGGCCACCCTGTATATGAAAGCAGTTGTAATTGTTCACCATCAAAAATAATCTCATCCTGTGTTATTTCACGGCTAATAGAGAGGGGCGAGTACATACTCTTACACAGTTTTCATGTCTTTTGTTTTTAATAAAACGTGCACCAATTTTGTAAAAGGTCTACACAGAGTTATTACTGAAACCTACAAACTACGGTTTATTTATCTCTCCAAGATTAAACTGGTGATCAAGGTTATGGTAAACATGACATTCCAATCAATTTCACCAAAAGGCCCAGGAAATTTGCTTTATAAAGTCAAGTTTGGTACAGACAGCTTTCAAAGACTTCAGAGTTCTCTAAGATAATTAATTCACCTTCAAATAATTGAGTAATTTACTCTCTTTATAATAATTCACTAACTGCAGTAAAAGTCTGAAGGAAAAAAATTGGCTTATTTAATCACTAGTACATAATAAATGATGACACAGAACTTTTAGTATTTCTTCAAATGAGGAAGAATAGTATATTATGGGTCATGGGGCCAATGAACAAGAACCGAATACTTTTAACAATAGGAAAGAAAGTCAGGGCTGTTAGTTGCGACAGAGTCTCTGCCTCGGCTAGAGTGCTCAGCCTAGCTCATAGTAACCTCAGACTCCTAGTTCAAGTGATCCTCTTGCTACAGCCTTTTGCGTAGCTGGGACTACAGGCACCTGCCACTATGCCCTTTCTATTTTTAGTAAAGACGGGGTCTTATTCTTGCTCAGGCTGGACTTGAACTCCTGAGTTCAAGGGATCCTCCACCTTGGCCTCCCAGAGTGCTATGATTACAGCCCTGAGCCACTGTGCCCAGCCAAGAAAAGTCAGTGTTTGCAGTGGCAAGGAAGAAGCTTGCCAAGCAGACTGGCCTTTTATCTCTTTTTGGGTCATTTTGTACTTTAATCCCCAATCTAAACTAATAATAGCAATTACAAAATGTTTTAACTTCTGCACTTTATCAACTCTCGTATACAGCTCTGTGGTATACTGTCTCTGTCAGAAACACGAGAAAAGTCCTTTCTTTTCTCCCTGTCCTGAAAATACTTCAAATAGAGGCCTCAGGATTGGGTTGCCTGTATATGGCAAAAAAAAAGGGAAAGAAAATAAGAGGAAAAAAGTCTTATTGGGGGGAAGAGGAGGGACACAACAGAGAAGTCACGGACACACACGAGTCATCGTCAATGACAGATCTGTGAAGAACAATTTAGTGAAGGAAGAAGTAAGTTTCTTCTGTAGAAAACTGGCATTGTAGCACTAATGTTTATAGTTCAGCTGAAGTTAAAGCATCATGCAAGACATTGGATTCATTAACAGACTGAAACACACGCGGCTTGGTGCCCGTGGCTCAGTGGTTAGGGTGCTGGCTACACACACCAGGGCTGGCAGGTTCAAACCTAGCCTGGGCTTGCTAAACAACAGTGACAACAACAACAAAAACAAAAAAATGGCCGGGCGTTGTGGCAGGTGCCTGTGGTTCCAGTTGCTGGGCTGTGATGCCGTAGCACTCTACCAAGGGCAACATAGTAAGACTCAAACAAACAAAACATACACACACATATATACACCAAAGTATTTCTGATGATACATAACTCAGTTACCTATCAGCAGAGTAAGGGAGAAAAGTCATAGTATTAAAAAGAAGAGTGTTAATGAAATACTTACTTCGAACTTCATACTGGTTATACTCCACTGTCTTCAGCAGGGGATGAGAGAAACAGTGCCACGGTAGCTGTTTTCTAACTTGAGGCAGGACGTAATGGGTTACAAACCCCACAAAGCCAACCAAGGCATACAGCACATACTTGAGAGCAGGCTAAAAAAAAAAATACATAAAGTTGAAAAACTTAGGAATGATTTTGAGACTCTCAGAATTTCAATTCTGTCAGCTCATTTGACAATGAAGAGCAAAGAGAATTTTAGAATCTAAAACCCAAACATTTTCTATAGTTAACATTTCTATGTTATGTAATTTTTTCTAATTAAGTCAGCTTTGAAAGTTAGTGCCTATTCATGTATCATAGATACTTTGACATGCATTAACTACTTTCTCTGGTGTCTCCCTCTACTGTATATTGAGAGTGACCTGAGTCATACTGCTTTCTACTATAAGACTGTTCTGTATGACATTCAGAGCAATGCATTAACTATTTTAAATAGTAAAGACAAAGGATGTGGTCAAAGCTAGGGTGTGCCTAGAGCAGCCAGCTGCATACACTGGTTCAAAGAATATGGCTCAGCACACAGCTACATGTCTGACCAAAAGAGTGGAGGCCCAGGCACACTAGAGTCACCAGCCATGGTCACTGAGGTGGGTCATCCGTGGCTATCACCGGTGAACACATCACATCTGCCAAGAACCCGGCCTCTTTCCTGCCACCCCTCATGCTTCCCAGGAAGGTCATATGCTCCTTCCTCAGCTATATCACCAATTATAACAAGGCCTAGAAGCCTGGTGCACACCTGCGCAAGTACATAGGGCAGAGACCACTGGTTTGCGACTATGAAGGAGCCAACACCACCAGTGCTCCTGGATGCTGCCCAGGAGTCTGAGGATGAGCACACCCAGCCTGCCACACCCACCAGTGGCATCCCCGACTTGAGCAAAGCCTTGCCACTGTCTCTATTAATAAGCACAGCCTAAACTACTGGGGCGCTCCCAAACACCACTGACACCAATTACCACCTTAGAAATCAGTGGATTTTTCAGTAGAAACCTTACAAACTGGGAGATGATGGGGTGATGTGTTGAAAGTATTAAAAGATAAAAAAAATGGCAGTCAGAATACCATGCCCAGAAAAGTTATCCATCAGTAATGATGAAGAAATAAAGTCTTTCTCAGATAGGCAGAAACTGAGGGAATTCATCATTACTCTACAAGAAGTTAAATGTTTAAGTTTCCCACAGAGCATATAGACTGGCTAAATGGATTTCTTAACAAAAGATGCAAATATATGCTGCCTTTAGGAAGCTCACTTCATCTCTAAAAACAGAGACTGAAAGCGAAGAAATGAAAAAAATAATTATGTAAACAGAAACCAAAAGTGTACAGAAGTAGCTATATTTACATCAGACAAAACAGATTTCAAGTAGAAAAGAAATAAAAAGAGACAAAGAGGGTCATCATATAATAATAAAGAGATCCATTCAGCAGGAGGATGTGGCAACTGTACATAGAACACACAGACATATAAAGCAAATATTAAAGATAAAATAACAGTTGGCAACTTCACGCTCCAATTTCAGCACTGACACATCAACTAGAAAGAAAAGTAACAAAATGACTTCAGACTTAGTTTGCTCTACAGAGCAAATGTACCAGGAAGTCATTTACAGGGTCTTTCATCCACAAGCTACAGAATACAGATTCTTCTCATCAGCACATGGAACGTTCTCCAAGACAGACCATATGTTAGGCCACACGTCTCAACAATTTTTTTTTTTAAAAGGCATATCAAATATCTTTTTAGACCATAATGGAAAAAAGTTAGAAATCAGTAATAAGAGGAATTTTAGAAACTGTAAGAATACACGGAACATAAATGATGTGCTGCTGAATGAATGTTGAGTCAATGAAAAAACTAGTAAGAACATCAAAACAGTTATGTTAAGAAGAAAACGTAAACACAGTCAAAGTCTATGGGGCACAACCAAAGCAGCACTAAGGGGGATGGTTATAGTAATAAATGCCACATCAAAAAAGCAAAAAGATTTCCAATAAACAACCAAACAATGTACCTCAAAGAACAAGAAGATCAAGAACAAACCAAACCCAAAAGCAGTAGAAGGAACAATCAGAAGAGAACTAAAGAAAAACAAAGACTAACAAAACAATAAAAGGATCAGTGAAACAAAGAGTTGGGTTTTGTTTTTGAAATTATGAACAAATTTAATAAAGCCCTAGCTAGGCTAAGAAAAAAAGAAAAAAACCCACATAAATGAAATCAGAAATAAAAAAGGAGACATTACAACTGATAGCACAGAATTACAAAGGATCTTAAGAGACGATTATATGCTAATCAACTGGAAAACCTTGAGGAAGTGATTACATTCTTGGACACAAACAATCTATCAAATTGAAACCAGGAAGAAGGAGAAAACACCGATAAACTAATAGCAAGTAACAATATTGAAATGGTAATCAAAAGTCTCCCAACAGGGGCAGTGCCTGTGGCTCAAGGAGTAGGGTACCGGCCCCATATCCTGGAGGTGGTGGGTTCAAACCTTGCCCCGGTTAAAAACTGCAAATAAATAAATAAATAAAAATTAAAAAAAAAAAAGTATCCCAACAAAGAAAAGCTGAGGACCAGATGGCTTTACTGCTGAATTCTACCAAACCTATGCCATAAAATAGAAGAGGAGGGGACATCTTCCTATCTCATTCTATAAAGCCCGTGTTACCCAGCTACCAAAACCTGACAATGTCACAACAAAAACAAAAACTATAACACATTATACCTGGTGAATGAAGACCAAAGGATCCTCAATAAAACACCAGCAAACCAAATCCAGCCACACATCACAAAGGTAACTCACTGTGATCAGGTGAGATTTATCCCAAGCACGCAAGAATGGCTCAGCATATGCAAATCAATAAACACGATATTTCATATCAGTAGAATGAAGGACAAAACCATACAATCATCTCAACAGATGCAGAAAGTGCATTTGATAAAATTCAACATCCTCTCATGATAAAAATCCTCAAAAAATTCATCCCAGAAAGAACACACTTCAATATAATAGAGGCCACCTATGATTAATCCACAGCCAACATCATACTGAATGGAAAAAAGCTGAAAGCCTTTTCTCTAAGAGCACGAACAGGACAAGGATGCCCACTTTCATCACTCCTGTTCAACACAGTGTCCATCAACAGATGAATAGACAAAGAAATGTGGTCTATACAAGCAAGAGAATATTATTTAGGCATAAAAAAGAATAAAATCATGTCATTTGCAGAAACATGGATGGACTGGAGGCCATTACGTGAGGTTTCTCCCACACAGACAGAGGTAGAGAGCATAGAGTAGAATGCTGATTATCAGAGGCTTAAAGGGCAGAGGATACGACAAAACGTTGGTTAACAGGTACTCAAATGCAGTTACACAGAAGGAATTAACTCTAGCATTTGATAGTAGAGAAATTATAGTTAACAATTAATTATACTATATTTCAAAATAGCTAGAAGATTTCATATGTTCCATTGTTTCAAAATACACATGTAACCCATAAATATGTATTATAATTATACCCCAACTTTAAAAAAAATTAAATTTAAAGGCTGGGCACAGTGGCTCACGCCTGTAATCCTAGAACTCTGGGAGGCTGAGGTGGTGGATTGCTTGAGCTCATGAGTTCAAGACCAGCCTGAGCAAAAAAGAAGACCCTGTCTGTACTAAGAACAGAAAAAAACTGAGGCAAGAAGGTAGCTTGAGCCCAAGAGTTGGAGGTTGCTACGAGCTATGACACCACGGCATTCTACCCAACTTGAGACTCTGTCTCTCAAAAAATAAATAAGTAAATAAATAAAATTAAAAAATAAAATTAAATAAATTTAAATAAAATTTAAAAATTTAAATAAAATTAAAACTAAGCATGAGAGAAAAGCAGAATGGAATGAGAAAGAAGTCTCCTTTTTTGTTCCTTTGCACGGTATACTATTAAAAGAGAATTCTTATGTATGACTAATTCATAAAAGAGGGAATGAAGTGCCAGCTCTTTAAATATTCAAATTAAGCCATTTATTTAGAATCTCTGGAACCTCTTGCACATGAAGAAACCTCTTCCTGCACCCTGAAGACCTACCAGAACTTATTCACTTTGAAAGTACTCGGAAATTAATAGTTCAAACTGGAAGAAACACAAAACTGGTGAAAATATTAAATAAAATTAAATTAGATTTTTGTTTCTGAAAAAACGGAGTAACAGGGAATTAACCTCCCACATGAAAGAACTGAACAGAACATAAAATACACGACCCAGTGATTTGCACAGATGAGAAATAAGGGACTAAATCATCAAACCTGAAGGAAAGGAAAAAAGTGAGGTGAGCACTGGGACTGTCTCAGCATACTGCCCGGGCACTTCCAGGCTGCAGCTCAGGGAGGGAGAACCCCATAAGACTGGGTCCTCTCAGAACTAAGGAGATGGAGCTGAAAGTCTGGGGAAACCAAGGCAGCTAGAGTTCATCAGAACAGACAGTGTACCCAAAAGAAAACTTGTATTTTGCTTATCTGTGGTACTAGATATCATAAGAATTACACATGAACCCATTTTTGCTCGTCAGCTTTTGTCAGTGTTTGTGTATTTACTGTCTGGTCTGAGACAACTCTACTTCCAACATGTAGTAGAGAAGAAAAGGTTGGACACCCCTGATCTACACAAAAGAACGGAGGGCATAAACCTGAGGACTGCACACCTACAGATGACAGGGATTGTTCTTGAGAAACCGCACTAGGGAGGAACATCTGAGAAGCTTCACCCATTTCTGAGCCTTTAGATGATAAGGTTTTAGACCTCTAATTGTACTGGAAACTTTTAGGATTTTATGGGGGATAAATGCATTTTGAATATGGGAAGATGTCACGAAGGCCAGAGGCTGAGCCATGGTGGTCCTCTAAAATGGTCCCATGGTCTTGGCCTCTTGGCATTTGCACCCAGGTATATTCTCTTCCCACAATGTACCAGGGTTGATCTAAATAACCTGCAAAATCTGGAAGAAGTATAGGCATGTCACTTCCAGTATCAGGTGGTAAGTGGTGCAGCTTCTGTCTTGGGCTTTCTCTCTCAAGCATCACTTGCTTTGGTAGAAAGTCGCCATCACTCAAGTGGCGCATGGTGAAGACCACTAAGGAGAACTGAGGTCTGTCCATGGCCACAGTCAGAAGGAACCGAGGTTTGCAACTAATGAATGACTGCAGCATCACAGAAGATCCTGAGCCAGAAGCATCCCGATAAGCCACTTTCAGATTCATGGCCAAGGGAACCATGAGGAAATAAATTTTTCTTTATTAAAACCAAATAAAAAGTCACATATTTCAGCACTTACAGACAAACATTACGATCAGATTAGAAATTAGTCCAAACACTCAGCAACGGGATCCATTATGAGACTCTGTTAGATGATTTCATCATTGCACAATCATCAAAAACAGTGTAATTACATAAGCCTAGACAGTGTAGCCTACTACAAACCTAGCTGTATGGTACAGGCTATTGCTCATAGGCTACAAACGTGTACAATGTGTTACTGTACTGAATACTGCGGGCAACTGTAACATTATGGTAAGTACAGCAGGACCTCCATACTGGCCACCTACTTGAAATGACCTAATTTCCAAACACTGGAGGTGCACCACATGTGTGTATCAATACAATAGACCTAGTTCCTCATGCCGACCCCCTTTATATATTGACTGGTTTGTTTCAGTCCCTTGGGTGGTCAATTTACAGAGGTTCTACTGTATCTGTGTATCTAAACATAGAAAAGGCACAGTAAAAGTATGGCATAATAAAAATGGTACACATATAAGACAGTTCCATTACAGTATTATGGGACACCGTCAGACATCCAGTCTATTCTATTGTTTTTTGGGGGGTTTTTTTTGCAGTTTGTTTGCAGTTTGAACCCCCCACCTCTGGCATATGGGGCTGGCGCCCTACTCCTTGAGCCACAGGCGCTGCCCCCATCCAGTCTATTGTTGACTAAAATGTTATATAGCGCAAGACTATACTTTCTCTCTATTAAAAGAACAAAATTATCCCTTACCTGCAATGCTGTAAAGACTGTGCTCACATGTATAGCAAAGTACAGCACACCAATTACAATGCATACTACTAGGTCAGACTGTAAACGCTCACTCTGTTGAAGAGAAAAAAAAAGAAATATCAAACAATTACATTAAAAATTTAAAAAAAAAACCTTTCCTTCATTCCCAAGTAGCAAAGTTTAAGAAATAATTTTTCATTGATATTCCTTAAAGTTCTAGATATTTCTTAGACATATTAATTAGCTATAATAAATCTTATTTACTTCCTCAATTTCCTCACATTCTGGTACTATACTGTAGTATGAAGGAAACTAAACAACTTCTCTATTTCTGCTAGCTGCATGACCTATTGCAATGAAATGAAGATTTTTATTCCCCAGAGGAAAAGGAAGTAATAAGTTGCCATAACATTTTTTAGATTTTTTCTTTTTTGAGACCAGGTCTCACTATGTGCACAGGCTGGAGTGCCATAGCTATTCACAAGCATGGCCACAGCATGTTATAGGCCAGAATTCCTGAGCTCAAGGATTCCTGATCCTTCTGCTTCAGCCTCCCAAGTAGATGGGACCATGGACATGGGCCACTGTGGTTGGCCACTGTGCCATTTATAGGAGCATATCCCTTCAGATCCAGGGCTATAACCCTCTGGATAAGTCACGTTTTCACTGGTCTTTTGAAACGTTAACACTGCATACAGATGCCATATTTTACCTACTAGATTTTAGTTCTTTCAGTGGTTAAAGTAAAAACCAGAAACCTCAGTATCTTTGTTACCAGGTGACCCATTAGATTTTTGTTTGTAAGCTAGATTCAGAATATCCACCTACACTTAACATGAAATATGCTTTGCTAACATGGAAACTGAAGTCAGAAAGAAAGTTTGTTTAAATTATATCTTGTAGTAGTTGTGTAGTTTTATAGTTTTCTAAAGAATATGTAAATGGCTCAAGTTCACTGAAAGTAATTGTTATTTCTAATTCAATACTTATATAAATTTAGCCTCTTACAAATGAAAATAATCTAAAATAAAACTGAGATAAGAATGTTTTATATTTTCTTCCATAAAACAGACAGGATATCTATAAAATTCATTTTTCAAACAATTACTAAAAGAATGCAGGCAAATTTATATTTCATCAAATTAGAAAAATTTTTAAATTACTGCATTTACTTAACTATAATAAATTAATACAGGTTACTATTTTCTCTATTCAACCTGGGAAGCATATAAAGTTTCCAGACTGCTCTTGAGAAATAAAACATTCTAAAAGACTAGTAAGTGACTTGTAAGGACATAATTTTTTATCAACAAGAACAGCAACAAAATAAATCTAATCATGTTGATACTGATCTTTCAGATACTAGTCTCAACTCACGAGGAATAAAAATTCTATGATGATTAAAATTACTTAATTTCACCTTACCTAAAAATAAATGTTTAGCATATTGTTCTACAGAGAAGCCAAGTTTGAGGAATAAGCATTTTTACATGTTAATATTTGAAATCATGTGTTGAACGCAATCAATAACATACAACAGATCCTATTAAATATAACTTTACCCTTTCCCCCAATTACTAAAGATTTCTAAAAAGTATTCATTATATAATATGATCAAGTGTCTAAATTTTAAATAAGTCTTTTTGGTGACTCCCAAAGCTGAAACTTACAACAGAATTTCTCAGTTTTTCAGGTAATGGATCTTTTACTTCAGATAGAGGGTCTTCTGGATTTTTCTCTTCTGTTTGTGGAAAAATCTTGGATTGCACTAAAGAACTTTACATTAAAAAAATTGAGAGAAAATAATTACTAAAAAACAGATACATAATCTGAAAACCAGTAATTCAAATGGCAAATAAAAATAGAAAACCAAGTGATCCAAATATATTTAATCATTAACAAATGATAAATTTAAAATGTTTTAAGATATCATAAATAAACATATAGTGAAATATTTTTATTAAAAATAGTTTTAATATTTGGGAGAGAAAAACTAGCACACACTGTCAGCCAACATGGTCAGAATGACCCAAAATTAATACATTTTGGAATCTAATATAAATTAGGTTAATAGCAAGCACTTTGGAAAGGCATTAAAATAACTTAGAAGCTATGTGAAAAAAATGCCAACTTATTTACATTTCTTTAACCCAATAACAATTGATTTTACTTACAAAAGTACAGATGGATCACTGCTTTGTCGACTGAGATGATAAGACACTGCCACCAATAAACCACAAAAAATGGAGAAAAGTACTGGAATGTGCTGTCCATCCCAAGAATCCTGTTAAAAAAATTAACGGAATATGCTTCCAATTTATAATCTATCATACAATCCTTTTACCTCAGTATTTGTAGAGAACAATAAAATCAAATTCAATAAAAAAATTTAGCCAAATTATTAACTGCATTTTATTCCAGAAAAATTTAGATTTACTGTTTTCTGATGAGCTAGAATCTAGCTGCTACATTTCTTCTGGTACTAAAGCTTCGGTTTTTTTTGTACTAAAGCTCTTTTCATACAGCAGGAATGCTGTGCTTCTGATACATGTTGCTACCAGTTCTTTCATATTTTAAGTAGTATTAAGTTTACAGTAAACCATATAATCCTTTCTAAATAATAAAATAACTTGTACAGTAAATATTACATGTAACAACGGAGTAGGAAAAGTCACCATGTGATACAATGTATTAGGCAAAAGAAGGCTGGCCTGTGGTTCGCTATTTTCTCCGCGTCTTGCTTGTGTACGGGAGTGGCATTCAGCCACTGTTTGTTAAATGAATGACTGCATATTCCCAGGGGGAGATGAGGCCAAGGCTAGCTTCCAAGGCCAGCAAACATGTGGTTCTGCCACGCTGGCTCTGCTCACTGCACTATCTCTAGAGTTCTTGGCATAAAGCATGGCATAGAGTGGATCATACTGTGACAGGAGGGCTAGCAGCTCTTATGTACGTTCTGTGAGGTACACACCATTCTGATCTCTTGTCTTCTTCTAGAGCAGTGGTTCTCAACCTTCCCAATGCCGCAACCCTTTAATATATATAGTTCCTGTATATATACAGGACCCATGGGTTGAGAACCACTGTCCTAGGGGTTTAGAAAGGAAAAACTGTAGAAGCAGGGAGCCAAATGGTAGTTTTTAATAAAATTTGCCCCTTTTCTCACTTAAAAATACTCTTGGTTCCATATCACAATATGAACCACCCCCCTCCCTTTTTTTTGAGATAGAGTCTCAAGCTGTCACCCTGGGTAGAGTGTCATAATGTTACTGCTCA